TGTCTCTGAAAGGGGATTATCGTCTAAGCGTTTTTTTTCCCTTTTGTGCAAAACGGTCCGTTACAATTATTATTATTATACTGTGTGTACTGAATATTATTATTATGCTGTGTGTATACTGAATATTATTATACTGTGTATACTGAATATTATCATACTGTGTGTGTATACTGAATATTATATTATACTCTGTATGTATACTGAATATTATTATATTATTACACTGTGTGTATACTGAATATTATTATATTATTACACTGTGTGTATACTGAATATTATATTATTATAATGCATGTTCGAATGGGACTTAGTAATTTTTTTTCAGTGTGAAATTGACCGACCGCACAGCCCAAATCTATGGAACTGTTTTGGGCATGAAAATGTGCTTGCGGTCGGTCATAAAAGGGCTTCCAGCTAACTTTTTAACCCCTGGATGGAATTGGCTGAATTTTGACTTTGTTTATAATTAAAGTGTGCTGAATAATAATATGTAATAATGAAGATTGAATGCATATTTTTTTTTTTTTTTATCTTTGACAATTTTTATTGAAGTTTTATAGGGGTACAGAAGAGAATAGGGGGTGGGGGAGCAGTGGTAACGTAAAGTATCTCATACACATTGACCTTAGGACAGTGTACACATTTATCATACACAGTTTGCTTTTCATACGATCATTGTGTTATATTGTGATGCCCTGATTGGGTCTGCTGATTATTGTCCACCCCATGCCCTGAGGGGGGGGGGGGCTCACATCGGTCCCTTCCAGGGTGGTAATCGACTGGGTTTGTGATTGATGTTGGGTGTAGAGCTTTGGTATTTCATATACCACTGGGGTGGGGGGTGAACCGTGGAAGAGGATCAGAGTGGGGACGGAAGGGAGGGGGGGGATGAAGGGGGGAGGAGAAAGGAGGGGGGGAGAGGGTAGGGCTCTCCTAGGTAGTCGGCTGTGTGTGGTCGTTTCTGCAGGACTATCTGTCTTACATGTGTTTTATTCGAGTTGCGGCATTATCGTTGTGTTTGCAGTCTCCAGAATTATTTACATTTTCATTTACAGTTGCTTTGACCTTTACATTTACACCCTTTGCTACAGTTTCGTTGTCGAAGGGGCACAGCTGTCGGTGTGTAGATCCCTGCTACCGTCATCTCAATTGGGGGTTATATTATTAGTACGCTCCATGTACAGTTGCCAGGTTTCCCAGGCTTGTGACCAAACTTTTTTGGAGTGGTTTGAGCGTCTAGCTGCCAGCTCGTAGAGCTTAGTTTTTTCTATCGTTTGTATGCATTCTGATATTTTGGGTGGGATATTAGATTTCCAATGTCTGCTAATGACCGTGAGCGCGGCTATAAGTATGTGATAGATTAAGTATTTTTGCCTGCTCCGCAGCCCCTTTGGAAAGAGGTGGAGGAGGTATATTTCTGGTTTGCGGGGTAGTAGTGTTTTTGTGCTGTCTTGGATAATGGTGGTTATGGTATTCCAGTAGGGTGTTAAGGAGGGGCATTCCCACCAAATGTGGAGCATTGTGCCCTTGTGTTGTTGACATCTCCAACAGATATCGGAGGCCTGTGGATAGGTGGCCTTTAGGCGTGTGGGTACTAGGTACCACCGGTATAAAATTTTCGGGGATAGTTCCATGTGGGAGGCACATTTGGAGAGTGAATTGTGTGCCAGGAGAATCTCATTCCATTGTTTTTCACCAAGAGTGTACGTAAGTTCCCTCTCCCATGCAGCTATGAAGGAGAGGTTTTTGTGGTCTTTTGGGGGATGCATAGTCTGGTATAGTTCCGAGATGAGTTTTTTGGGGGTTGCGAGACGTGAGCATATTTTCTCTACCACCGTCAGCTGTAGCCCCTGTACATTGTCAGGTCTTGTTATAGTTTGCTTGCGGAGCCATGATTGCAACTGCATGTAGGGGAAAGCTGCCCTTGGAGTCAAATTATAACATGCTGTTAGGTCTGCGAGATTTCTGAGCTTGTTTTCCTGGAGCAGCTGGTGTAAGTGTGTTACTCCGTGCTGATGCCATACGGTATAGTTAAAATTAGGTATTATATAGTGTAGTGTTTGTATGGGCATGGCAGGCGATATTTTGCCCAGCCAGCCCAATGTGCGGCAGTACTTGTCCCATATGGTCAGGGTGAGGGCTGTGGTTGGGAGCAATTTTGCCTTAGTAGGCCTGCTGTGCTGGGGAAGCCATGCCAGTACATTGATGGGAATGTTATTAGCATGCTGCGCCTCCAGTTCCATCCATTGGGTTGGGTGGTCTCGATGGCAAGCCGCTAGTAGGGGGCCCAGAATGGCTGCTCTGTAGTAACTGTCTAGGTTGGGCACTCCCATTCCCCCATTTTTGCGTGGCATGTATAGCGTGCTTTTCGCTACCCGTGCTTTTTGTCTGTCCCATATAAAGGTTAGTAGTGTTTGTTGAGCATCTCGTATGAATGTGGGGGGTATCTTTATGGGTAACGTTCTAAACAAGTATTGCAATTTAGGTACAATGATCATTTTAATTGCGGCAATTCTCCCTGACCAAGATACGAATTTACTCTTCCATCCTAGTAGTAGGTTTTTTATTTCAGTCAGTGTTTTTTGATAGTTTATTTTAAAAAGGTTTGCTAGATTTGGGGTGAGATTGATTCCTAGGAATTTTAGATGGTCGTTTCGCCAGTCGTATTTAAAAGAGATACGCAACCTATCCAAGACCTCCATCGGGATATTTATGCCCATTGCTTGAGTTTTATTTATATTAAGTTTATAATAGGAGCACTTGCTGTATTGGGTGAGCGTATCGTGGAAGTTAGGTAGGGATATGTGTGGTTGCTCGAGTGTTAAGAGGATGTCGTCTGCGAAAAGTGTGAGTTTGTGTTCTTTGCCTTGTCTCGTAATGCCGTGTATGTTTGGGTTGTCCCTAATGAGTTGCGTGAGAGGTTCTAGCGAGAGAATATAAAGGAGAGGCGATAGTGGGCAGCCCTGTCTTGACCCGTTGGTTATGTGGAATTGTTTAGAGCTAAAGCCCCCATTGGTGACTTTCGCTGTCGGTTTAGAGTATAATGCCTTTACTAACCGTAAGAAAGTGTCTGGGAAGCCATATTTGATCAGAACAGCTTGGAGGAAGGGCCAATGCAATCTGTCGAAGGCTTTTTCAGCGTCAAGTGACAGCATAACGCACTGGGCCCCCCCTCCGCTTCCTCCCTGTAGTAGGTCCAAGATCTTTCGGGTTCCGTCCGCTCCTTGCCTACCACTAACAAATCCCACCTGGTCCTCGTGTACCAGGGTCGGGATAATGTTCTTTAATCTGTTAGAGAAAATTTTTGCCAGTAATTTGATGTCCGTGTTAAGGAGGGAGATTGGTCTTAGATTTTGGCATTTGTTAGGTGGTTTGCCTGGTTTTGGCAATGTAGCCACATGTGCCATGAGCATGTCTTGGGGCACTTGGCCCGTCGTGAGGATATGGTTAAAGGTTTTGTCCAGATATGGGGTTAGGATTGTGGTCATTGTCTTGTAGTAGGAGTTTGTGAGTCCGTCGGGTCCCGGTGATTTGCCATGGGGGAGTGAGTGTATAGCTTGTTGTATTTCTTCTTGTGTGACTGGGTGTTGTAGGATAGTTTTCTGGTGTTCCGTCAGTGTTGGCAGCGAGAACTGTCCAAGTAGATTTTGAATGTCTTGGGATGTGGGTTGATGTAGTGTGGGGTCTTCTTTGAGGTTGTATAATGAGTGGTAATAGTCTGCCATAGTATCATTAATATCTTGTGGGTTGTGGATTTTAGAGCCTTGGGAGGTGAGCAGATAGGGGATTTTTGCATTGGATTGTTTTTGGCGTAGTAAAGTCGCTAGATTCCTGCCTGCTTTGTTTCCTTGTGAGTAGGTTTTTTGTTTCAGCTTATGTAAAATGTGTGCTGTTTTAGAGATTGCCATGTTGTTGATACTCGTCGTAGTATCATGGATCGTCTGTGCTAGTTGTGGTGATGGGTCTACTATGTTTGCCGCTGTTGCGTCTCTTAAAGTGCGCAGCAGGTGTAGGTGTTCTTGTTGTGCTTTCTTTTTTAAAAAGGAGGCTCTGCTGATGAGGAGTCCTCTGATGACCGCTTTATGGGCTTGCCACACAGTGGTCGGATGGACATCCGGCGTATCATTAGTTTGGAAATATGATGTCAGGGCTTCTGTTAATGTTGTAGTGAATGTCTGGTCACCTAGAAGGGAATCATTGAGCCGCCACGGTGGCCGTCCCCTATGTTGGTATTCCTCAGTCAGCTCTATTGTGGTCGGGGCATGGTCTGACCATGTTATGTCCCCGATTTCGCTATTTGTTACTCTGGTAAGCAATGTACCTGTTATGAAAATGAAGTCTATCCGTGAATATGATTTATGCACTGCTGAATAGAACGTGAACGTTTTCTCATTAGGATGGAAGGCTCTCCAAGGGTCGTATAGGCCATATTCCCCTAGCAGTGTATTGATTGCTTTACTTTGTGCTTTGAGTGCTTTGTGCCTCGGTGTCGTGGTGTTTAGTGTGGTGTCCATGTGTGGGTCAAGAGGGTGGTTAAGATCTCCACATAATATAAGTGGGGCAGTCTGGTTAGGTGGGAGTGCAGAGAGCACCTTACGTAGGAAGGCGCGTTGGTGTACATTGGGAGCATAGAAGCTGACTATAATATATGGCAGGTTATTTAGGAGGCAATGTAGCATTACAAATCTTCCTTGTTTGTCTTTGATTAGGTTTAGGGCTTCAACTGTTAAGGAGGAATGGAGAAGGATTGAGGCCCCTCTCGATTTGGAGGAGTGAGTTGCGTGATATTGGTGAGGGTAATGTTGTGCTCCAAAGTTAGGCACCCTAGATGTAACAAAATGGGTCTCTTGTAAACAGATAATGTCCGCCTGAGTCTGTTTGGCTTCCTCCAGCATCATGCGCCTTTTATGTGGGGTGTTTAGTCCCCTGCAATTGTGTGAATATATTTTCATGTGATGGGTGGGTGATAAAGGGTGCTCGTTTGCAGTTCTGCTATGCCTATATGGATTTGCAGATGTTGCAGGGTTCGTATGGTGCACCGCTTAGACGGCGCCTGTGCGACTACGTTGTTGCGCCCGGGGGTGGGAGGTTCGGGAATGACAGAGGAAAGGGGTGAAATAAACCAAAGTATATACAGTATGACCCAAACGTGGGTCTTGGCACAGTGGCATCGTGCCATGGGGGAGGAGCGCTGAAACAGCGTCTCTGGTATTGTGGCCGTTGGGCTCCCTTGTACACAAAGTTGCTGTCTCTCCTCAGAGCTATAAGTCAATAGCGACCTAGGTATTGTGCATGGCATTCTCAGTGCTGGCCTGTGGGCATGGGTGGGAGAATCAAATCGGACCCAAGGGAAGGTTTTGCGGGTCACCGCTTGGTGCCTATCGTGGTTTTCCCACTTGTTGTGTCGGTCTTTATGATGGGGTGTGGTTCTCCCTTCGTAACTTTTGGATGTGATGAGCCAGGCTACGTAGTTGGGCGGGGCGGTGCGGTTGCAGTGGGTTTGACCTACTCGTAAAACAATAGTTGGTTATATGGTGTCATGTACAATTTTCTCTCTATGGACAATGTCCCGGTAAATTACATAATCGTTGTGCACCTTTGTACATTTTTGGAGTACCTGTCTTATGTATGCATAACCTCAACCTTGTAAATAATAGTTAGGTATTAGGATCACCTCCAACTACTGGTCTTTTCTTTGCCTATACCATGCCGCCCTTCCTTGTTGCCCAAAGTTTGCCCTGGTTATCACTCATGTGGGCATCCCACCCGCCCACATCCAACAAACCATGCATAGTGTGGTATGATTGTGTGGTAAGTGAATAAAATGCTAATCAAAGCAGTTGATCACATGAAAAAGGAAAACTTAAACTAAACTTGTGATAGCAATTAGCAGTACAATCGCATGAAAAAGAAAAAACTTAATCTAAACTTGTGATAACAGTTAGCAGTACATATTAATATCTCACGTGTCCCTGGTTATGGCCTGGACGGCCTAGTCCCTCAGGTGGATCATGGCGATTTGTTCCGTGTTGGGACCTGGCGCCATTCTGGTGTCAGACGTCTCGCTGGGCTTGCTTGAGTTGTGGGGGGGGGGGTTAGTAAGGAGCCCCCAGTCTCTCAATAGTCGGGTGCCTTCTTCCGGCTTGGAGGCCACGTTGATCTTGCCGCTTTTGGTAATTAGGAGTTTGGTGGGGTATCCCCAACGGTACCTTATTCCTGCACGTCGCAATTCTTCTGTCACCGGTTGGAAATCCCTCCTGCGCTTGAGAGTCGCCGCGGACAGGTCTGCTAGGATCTTGATCGTGGCGTAGTTTTCATGTGGTTCTGAGCGGATTCTGCTGGCGCGCAATACTGCCTCTTTTATGTGGTAGTAGTGTGCCCTTAGTAGGATGTCGCGAGGGATATTGCCAGGCAGATTGCGTGGTTTGGGCACCCTGTGTACCCGGTCTATTAGGAACATATCCGTGGGGATGTCCGGAGCGTATGCCCTCAGAAGGCCTTGCACATAGGCTGGTAGATCATTAGGCATGATGCTCTCCGGGACTCCTCGTAGCCGGAGGTTGTTTCTCCGCGAGCGGTCCTCAGCGTCAGCCATACGCGCCTCCATTGTTTCGATTTTTTGTTCCAGCCGCGCTACATGGTCGGCCATATCGTTGTGCGCTGTTGCATACTCGCTCAGCTTATTTTCCACGTGTGTGGTTCGTTGGCCTATGTCCTGGACTTCCCTGCGGAGTTGTCCTATGGAGGATTGCCATGTTTGTACTAGTTTGTTGGCCATGGCTTCCATCGCTGCATCCAGGTGTGCCTTAGTGAGGTTGTCCTGGCTGTCTTGATGTGCGCCCGTGAGTGAGATGTTTCCCGCCGTTTGTTCGTCGGCGCCATCTTGGATTGTGCCGCGGTCGGTTTCAGAGCCGCCCGCGGCTTTGTTGTTGAAGAAATTTAGTTTTTCCGCCTTCTGTGTGCTCTTTTTCCCCTTGGGGTTCGCCATCTCGGGTGTGATGAGGGTTTTCTGAGCCCTGGGAGACGATGTCGTCGGATTGCTGGAGCCCGGGTGCCGGAGCAATTTCCTAGGCTGCCATGTTGCTCGGCGGTCGGCCACGCCCCCCCTTGAATGCATATTTTTAAAGTTAGAGTACATGTGTAAAAACTATTTCTCGGTCTCTGATAATTACATTAACCCATTGTGTAAGGTAATTGTATCACAGGCAGAGGGGATGATTTTGTGTGGGAGTGTCTGTGGGTATTGTACGTATTGATTGGTTGTTCTGCAAAACCCTGTGGGCAGTACTATACGTGTAAAATGTGCATAAAAGCAGAGTGTTTGATTAAAAGCTTCAGTTCTACTTCACCCTCAATTTGAGTGCCGTCTCTTATTAGGGGAATCTGCTACAAGGTATTTCTATGCTAGTCATACTCTCTTGCTATAATCACTAAGTTCTTTTAAGAGCTTGTTCCTGTTTTGCTCGCTAAAGGAGTCTACGGTGGTTATGGTGTCTGCTGGAGTGCTTGGGGCCTACAGGAAGCGCTAGGAACATCCTCCAACGGAGTTACCCAGTTGGGGTGCCAGGTGATCCGTTACATTCGCCGAACGGGAATTAGTCTCTGTGGCTGAAAATTCAGTGTAGGAGAAGGTAAGGGTCAGCGGTGTTCATGGAACTGTGTAGCCGATTTCAGTTCCATAAATTTGGCTCCACACACCGCTGACCGCATTTGAATGAAAAAAAAGATGGCGCTGCCACGTGTTCGTTTGTGCGAATGGCGGCCCACCAGCGGTCGGCAATTTACCTACAGCAGGCTCCCAACCTGGGAGGTAAATTGCCTGCACACTTCCAGTTCTGGGTGGTCCGCCTGTGTGGTACTTGGTTCAGTAAGCCCCATTTACTGAACCAAATGGGAAAAGGACACAAACAAAGTATATTAGGGGGACAGGGGACACAGTCTTAAAGTGACATTGTTCCCAAAAGTTACAGTATGTCCCCAGATGGTTCTTAAAGGGCCAGAAGCATAATAAAATACAATATGCCCAAATACTGTATTTAAAGGGACAAATCTCCCAGGGGCCATAATCAGCAGACAGGAAGCGGGCAAACAAGCTTCTCCAATACCCAGTGGTGAGGTTGGTTTCGCCACAGTAGGTATATTAGTACTTCGGCAATACTGTGCTTCAGAACTTCTGCAATTCGGAAGTATCCAAATTGCCCGAAATTTGTCCAAATTGACATTCGGAACAAAACGAAATGCACACGTCTAACAAGTGGTACCCCTTTGTTCATCAGGAGAAATATTAGGTCCCAGGCAATCTTGCCACTGATTCCCATATGTTATGAGCAACCTGGAAGGTCAAGGTGGCTATCCTTTCCCTCATACACCCGGAAGGCCTGAGTATACCCAGTCTCGCTCTCACAGAGCTTATACACCTTTACACCATACCTGGAGCGCTTGGAACAAATGTCCTGCCTGAATCCCAGCTTTCCCTTATACTTCATCAGGGATTCATCCACGCATATATTGGTTCCAAGTGTATAAGCATCTGCAAAACTGGCAGCGAAGTGGGTAATCAGGAGGCGGATATTATAATTTCATACCTCTTCCTCGACATACATTGGGAGTAAATGAGGTTACGATGCCTCTTTACGATGCCCATCAGCATAGTCAGTGCCCAGAATTTTTTTCATTCTGGCACTTTAATGGGGACTCATTGCTGCGTTGCCAAGAAGAGAGTCAGGCTTTGCAGCACGGAACTGATGGGCGTATAAATTAGTTTGAGCGACAATGTTCCCGAATACATCATCACCCAGAAACACCACCCTAAACTTTTGGGGGCTAAACCCCCAAGAGTTTGCCACTCCTGCGACATCTACATTGATGCCAGGATTTGCGGTGGGGAGGGGGGGGAATGGGGATTAATACATTGATTTTATTTGGTTTTTTTTTTTTAAATATATTTTTCAAAAATTTATTTTTCACTGAGTGCCTTGAGCCCTCAAGGCACTCAGCACACAGGCAAGCATCAGAAGCCTGCCCGATGTGGGGCAACCCGGAAGTGATGGCTCCATGGGAGCGATCATTTGGTGGCCCGGCCATCAGGAGAGGTATTGCAGGATGCCTTGGCATCAAGGCATCGCTACAATACTGTTAGAGCATCTGTAATACACAAAGTCACATAGGAAGGGGCCACAAAGGGGGCAGGGATGACCGGGAGAGTAAATAGCCCTCAACTCCCAACAGCCCCAGCCAGCAGGAGCCACCCTAAAGGTATGTGTTTTGGATGTCGCTATGTATGTAGTGTTTGTATTTGTGTGTGTCAGTGCATCTGTAGATCTTTGTATCTGTGTGTGTGCCAAGGTGTTTATCTGTATGTATGCATGTGTGTGTCAGTGTGCATATTTGTATGTCTGTATCTGTTAAGACACCCCTGGTGTCTTTAAACAATACCGCCGTTTAGTCAACCTTCCCCTTCTGCAATACCAATAATCTCCGTTCGCATGAACTGCAGTGTACGAACCAAACTCAGGGGAAGCGGCAATCTCCCGACCGGGATCCGTGAACGGCTCCAAACTCCCGAACGGAAATCCACGAACTGCTGCTAGCCGCCGAACAACAACATCCACCAAGCGGCTTTCAGTTCCATCCAGCAGTCTCTAAACGCAAAGAAGAAATCCCCCCAATAACGAGACAGAAGCTCCGCATTGAGGGTCAAACAGGATCTGGCTTTACTGTGGGCTACCTGCCCGTATTTATGCAGGTCTCTCACTTGGTGGACACTCCCTTAGGGGACCAAATGGGAGACTAATGACAGATAGACATTGGGACATTCCAGACATAGTCACAGCTTTCACCCACAATACACTATGGTTTCCTCCCCTCTGCCCTGGAGATAATTAAGAAGTAACTCAATTATCTCCAGGACAAAGACAGTCGCCATTTTAAATATAAAACCAGAAAATACATAAAAATTCATAACTTTACAAAAACCGAACGTTTCCCATTTGCATCACATATCCCCAGATAGCCTGGATCTGAGGGCATATTATTAGCGAATAGCGCTCAGATCCCACACACATAGTTCAATCGCCATGGAGTCAAAGTTCTTTCAGTCTTTCGGTATACGAATGACTCCATGGGAAGGCTATCTGGGTTAAGTCCTTTCGTATGCTTCAAAACTCCCGAACGGCCGGTATTCGTATGCTTTCGTGGAGGCAGCCAGGCGTTCCGTTGTTTCAGCGGTGTTCGGCAGAAAAAGTGTCCGTTTTTAGTTCCATGAAAATAGAGCCGAACACCGCTGGGCTTTCGTGTGGTTTTAAAATGGCCGCTGCCTCGTGGTCGACATACGAACGACGACCACCCTGAATTCGGTTTAATTGAGAAGTGTCTGCGGTTAACCACAACGTTCTAATTGGGATCAATAGGTTAACCAGCAGCACACTTCTCTCCTGGGTGGCCATCCGTTCGGTAGTTTTGTTCGGGAAAAACTGTCATTCGTATGGCTGGGCTATAGGAAACAGCCATTTACACGAAGGGGGCAAAACAGACGAATCCACCAACAATAAACAGATGGTTCTGTCACAGTATCTGTGTTCATATCTGTATGTCTGTGTGTGTGTGTCAATGTGCATATCTCTATGTCTGTGTATCCGTATGTCTGTGTGTACGCATCTGTATGTATGTATGTCTATGTAACTGCATGTTTGGCAGTTTTTGTATTTGTATGTCTGTCCCAATCCCAGCACACACACTACATCCCCAGCATGCATGCACACACACAAATTCTACATGCCCAGCAAACACACAACATCACCAGCGCGCATATATTATATATATATATATATATACACACACACACACACACGCGCGCGCTACAGCCCTAGCACACAGCCGCTACATCCCCAGAATACGCACAAACATCCCCAGCATACACACACAGACGTACTATATCCCTAGCATACACACACACACACACACAGACACTACATTCTTAGCACATATACACTACATCTCCAGCACACACAGACCCACTACATCCCCAAACTAATGGCATACATCACACATGGCAAATTAACTTACTCCTTTTTGGTTTGTTATTGTTAGTGATTGATATATTGTATTTTGCTAATATTTTAATAGCACGGCAGAAGCATAACTGTTGTGACGTTTAATTTAGTATGCATTGAATTAAATATGTTAAAGGAATGTATTTGAGATTTTTTTTTTTATTGGTGGTAGTGGGGAACGACAGAATGTAACTTTTAGTGCCAAGTATGCTTTAGGTAATAGGAAAATTTAAAGGACAACTGTCACCAGATTTAAAGAGCTTTTTTATTTATTTTTTTTTTTTAAATTAGAAGAATCATTGCAACAGGTAATGAAATAAAAAGATATGGCTTTTTAAAAAAACGAATTAGATGTAAAAATATGGTCCCTCCAACCATAAGTCTCTTGCCTCACTCACACTCCCCCAGTCGGACCTAAGCGGAATCCTGGGATGTGAAATCTCCGGTTCTTGCCCCATGATGTCTGCTGGTGGGGGTAAGTATTGATCGAGGTGTCTACAGAGCATTTTGGTCTCTTTTTGGGCTAATAAGCCTGTAATCAGTCAGAGCTCCTCAGAGACACGTCTGTGCTCCTGCACAGTTGCCCCCACCAGGAGATATTTTATCATTTTGGTTTTAATTATCATAATACAACATAATGAATGTGGGCAGGTTTTCGGGCCTGTCCTGGAATCTGTGTCATTGTATCGGTCTATGTGTCTGTATATCTGCGTATGTGTCAGTCTGTGTTTCTGTATGTCTCTATATCTGTGTGTATGTGTGTCAGTGATTGTATCTTTGTGTATATGTATTTTGATGTGTGTCAGTATGTATATCTGCATGCGTAGCAGTGTGTAACATGGTGTCTGTTCAACTGTATGTATATCAGTGTTGCCATCAGTGTATCTGCATATGTGTCAGTGTTTGTACCTGTGTGTCTGTACATTTCTATATGTGTTAGTGTCTATATGCATGTATGTCAGTATGTCTGTGCAAATATATATGTGTCAGTGTTTGCATCTGTGTGTCTGCATGTGTATCAGTGTTTGCTCTCTGTATGTGCAACTGTATGTGTATCTCAGTGTCCATGTATCTGTATGAGTGTGTCATTGCTTGTACCTGTACATTTGTATGTGTTTCAGTGTGTGTATCGGTGTGTCTGTGCAACTATATGTGTTAGTATCTGTATGTGTGTCAGTCTGTGTATCCACAATGTGGGGAACCTGGGGCAGAGGAAGAGCAGGGGAGCCTGGAATAGATGATAAAAGGGGGAGATAGGGCAGAGAAAGGCATATCAATTTGAAATAACTATAATAGTTACAAATATTTGCTAAGATGAGGTGTACAATTTATGTAAATGGACTGCCAATGTGTACTCAAGTGACAAAAGGTTGGGAACCACTAGTTAGTGGATCGGATCAGGTTATGTCGTGTGAGTTTATATACTAGTCTACAAGTCTCATTACAATGTTAGTCATACAAATGAATGATACGGTCATATTATACATATTAGATATAGTTAACACAGAGCGAGACGAGTAGGGTAGAGGGGACTGCGGATCCGCGCCATATTATAGCCCTACGTACGCCCACGGTAATGACGACGTCGACGTGCATGTGACGTCAAGCAAAAGACGCACACTTTGGGGTCAAAGGTCAGGTACGGCCAATTGGATTTGCAGGAGGGTTATTTGAACTCATTGCCCTGTTGTGGTTATCCGAGAGTGTACCTGATCGTATTATTTCTGGTATAATCCATGGTGTGATGCTATTTCTGCGTGCTGGATCAGTTAGTAATCCTGATAGAAGGCAGGGTTCAGAGGATGTCTCGCTTCAAGATCTGCCTGAGGATTAGACCCATCCGATCCGGCCGGGCTTAAAACAGAAATTATTATTAAACATATAGAACCTTAGATTACCCAACAACTGTTTATGCTATGAAATAAATCACAATTTAACCACATTCACACATATCGAATAAGAAAACACAAGCAGCCATCAAGACGACAAAGATTGTATAAAGTGTTTATTCTGTTTGTTTGGCACAAGGATTACAAGAAAAAAAAAAAAAAAAACTCCCTCTTCTCACCTTAAATGAGAATTTAGAATGCAAATAATTAACAAAATGAATGACACCAGTATAATGAGAAAAAAAATAAAAAATAATCTTGAAATAACATGCATAAATGCGTGATAAAGTGCCTGCGTTACAGGATAAGGCACAATATGTCAATTCCTGGGTATATGGAGCTGCGACAAATTGATTACAGCATCAGCGTAGACCAAACATACAGCAACCCAAACGCTATACTTTCACGCAGATGGAGAGCTAATAATCTAATCCATCTCACGCACACAGTGATTTATACAAACACACCAATCGCTGTAATTAGCAGAATCCCAGCATAACTGCCCAAACCACTGGTGTTTGCTAGACATGGAGTATACAGTAAACATACAAAATCTATCTCTGTATTAACCGGATCTTGCATTTCTCATTCAATACAGCTTTACCAAGAAAAATTGACAACTCAAGTTTTGTTATTTTACAGATTAGAGGTGAAACGTGAAAGTCACAAGTAAAACAATGATCAGTGTGGGAGCCTTTTTTTCCCTCTGCTAGAGAAGTGAACCTGAAGGGGTGACACAGGCTGAGAAGGGGGTGTTGGCAAGCAATGAGAAGCTACAGTTATCGGTCAGATTTAGATTAATGCTTCTGGAACTCGGTGCACTTCAATAGATAAGAATAACAAAGGAGCATTAGCTTATTAGTAAATAGGAAGTGGTGATATCAAGTTGGACTTAACGCAGATAAAATGTGAATTCTGATCCAAATGTAAGAAATGGTCCCCAAAGCAAAAGAATAATCACCATCTCTCGCTGGTGATTAGACGAATGCATTAATCCTATCATTAGGAGTAAAGGGACTGACTCCCATGCTCTTTAAAGGAGAGGGATTGCTGTGAATGCCTACACAATATTGGAGCTGTGCTTCATTGTCTCTGGTGGATCCAGTCTGTCTGCTCACAATGATCAGACCCACGGTGTGGCAATATTCATGGAGTGTCATCTGTGATCACATCTTACTGAAGCACTCCTTGGCATTTGTCCAAACTTGGATCCCCTGCACATAAAAAAAGCACCATATAACAACATGAAATCAGTTAATCTGCATAGTTCATTCACCATGTCTTCCTATCGGACAGTATACGAACAGCTGGAACTGAAGATACAACAAACCTGCTTTCACATACGCACCTTCTTGCACATGCTGATCTGCATAACTGCATAACTAATCAAAGCCTCCTTTAGGTCCCGATTCTTTTGCTCCTTGAATCTCTCGATCTCCAGCCATGAGTTCTTCACAAACTCTCTGAAAATAGCACAATGCAAAGTTAAACTAGGAAGCTGGAGATCAGCCCTCTGTGGGCCTCTTCCAAGCTCTGCCTTATACATGTCACAACTGTTTGTACATATGAGGCCTTTTTTTTTTTTTGAGAACCGTACAATTCTGGCTGTAGGCTGCCAACATATAGTGCTGCCCTGTGTTCTAGGAGATCTGTACACCTAATTTGTGCCCCCAATATGGCAGTCTGTGCTAGTTCTACTCATTCACTATTCTACTGCAGGACACACAGCAATATGTTCTGAGCCGGATCAGGTCACAGGTCCCATTTACACAGAGAATGATGGATAATAAACCATGTGCACACAGAGCATTTGCCATTACAGACCTTTATAGAATCATGACGTTACCTGCTCTCAACGTTGCGCAGTTTGAGTTGCTCCTCTCCCTCCACTATCTGTTCTTCAAGCAATTTGAGCTTGGCCTCTCTCTGCTCTGGTGTTTCTTGACCAAACAACTTGCTGGTCATTCCCTTCAGTGAAAAGGTTCTTATTGTCTGTGGGGAAAGCAAGGAAACAGGACGCTCATAGGGAATGCAGGGGTTGTCATTGCATACTACACTTTTTGTGGGAGAACAAACGAGTTCTGTACAAACAAGGGACACCCCATAGTTCTGTGATTTACTCTTCTGTTAAAGAAGACTGAGTTGTTGCTATTTGCTTAGAGATTTGGTTAGGGACTTGTTTTTGTATAAAATTCCGTGGACATTGTGTATACCAGTGACAATGTGTGATCTGAGCTTGCTCTGTATTTATATCGCCTCAATAAAAAAAAAAATGTTTAGAATTAAATCCAAGAGTGAGCTGCCCTGGTAATGAACAGGTAACATATTTACAGATGAGAATCCATTGAGCTCTTTCATCTTCACATCAAATGTTCTGGACATCACAAATCAATGTTACAGAAATGAACAATGAAAGAACTCCTAAGTCTATCATGCTCACACTCCTGGACAAAAGGACTGTGGCAAAACTAGCCACTTAAGACTATAACTATAGGAATATGTTCATATCCCTGTTTCAGCTGTGAGAACCAAGTGTATTGCTGTATGTTCAAGTGTATACCTAGTACTGTAATTTAGCCGAACAAGAGCATTCGTACGCTGGCGGCATAAAGCCACCAGCATTCCTACAATAGTTTCACGAACAGTGAATTTCAACACTGTTCGTGAAACAAATAAACTACCGAATGGGAGACCACAAACAGGAGGTTGTGTGGCGCCCATTAACCAATTGCAACATTGTTGCAATCGGTAGTTAAAGGCTTTCCCAGGTGGCCGTCTTCGGCTACCGACCATGTGGCGGTCGGCCATCTTGGTTCCTTTGTTAGCCCAGAGGTGTTTTGTCGTCGAGGGCCTGGAACTAAAATCGGCTACTCGACGGCGCGAACACCGCTGGACTTCCAAGCCGTTCGGGAGCCCTGGGCGTTCGGTAGTTTGTTCCCCTAATACCAATCGGTACTTTAAAGGTGATTTGAAAATAATGTGTGTTTCGTGCGGCATTCGGTTAGTTAGGCTGGGATCTGAGCGCTATTCTCACAAACTGTGCGCTCAGACCCCAGCTATCTACCGAACGTCCATTCGTTTAAATAAAGGGAATATTATAGAAGTTATGTATTTTAATGTAAAATGTAAGTTCTGCTGCACGGAGGGATAATTAACTTAACTGTATATCCCTCTCGTGCAGCAGTGCATGGTGGGAGAAATGTCCAGGTTGTTAAGTTCCCCATGTAGTCCCCTACTGTACCACCCCTGGAATGTCAGTAGGGAAACCCCTTGCATGGGGAATCCCATTGTACAGCGCTATGGAATTTGTTGGCGCTATATAAATAATAAAATAATAATAATAATAATACTGTGACCTGTGAATAAAACCTCAGTTGACTCCCAGCCTATGTGTCGTCTAGTTCTAGGGAGGGAAGGATTCTTACAACGCTACCGGGATTATTGTATGCTGTGTTTATTTCCTTGGATTATTTTATGCTGTTCCTGTTACCCAGCGGAAATACAGTGGATTATACTACCTCTCCGCTACACTGACACATATTAACCCCTTAATGACCAGACCACTTTTCAATTTTCTTACTATTGGGACCAGGGCTGTTTTTACATTTCTGCAGTGTTTGTGTTTAGCTGTAATTTTCCACTTACCCATTTACTGTACCCACACATTATATACCGTTTTTCTTGCCATTAAACGGTCT